CTCCTGGACAATCACAATGTTATCTTGAATTTGTCTTCCCGGAACAAAGCTAACCTGAGATGGAGAGATCAGTTTATCCATAACTAGTTTCAACCGATGAACAATCACCCTTGACAGAATCTTATATAAAACATGGCAAAGGGAAATAGGCCTGAACTGAGAGATGCAGTCTGGCCTCTTAACTTTCGGAATCAAAACGAGAAGGGTATTATTAAACTCCTCCACCTGATCCGGATTTGACCACATATCAATAACAACATTATAAACCTGATCCTTCACAAGATTCCATTTTTTTGGAAGAAAATTGCAAGGAAGCCATCTAGACCCGGCGCCTTAAAGGCATTCATGCCATTCAATAACTTAGTGACCTCAGCCATACTAGGAACTTTGATCAAATCATCCTTTAGAGCGTTAGACAGTGACGTCCAGTGGTTGGCAGACGTGAGCCATCTTCGCTCTTCGATATCTTCTGTAAACAAAGTTTTACAAAAACTGCAGACATGATCCTTTAACTCATTCACATTTTCAATCCATTGGTTGGTCTCAGGTCTCACTACGCAACCTTGAAATTTTGTTACTGCTTCTTCTAATAACCGTCCGCAAGTGATAAAACTTCGTATTTTTATCTCCATCCATAATCCAATTATGTCTGGATTTTTGAAACCACAACAATTCTTCCTCTTCCAGCACATGATCAAGACTAATTTGCAAACTGATTTCCAGTTCATGAAGATTCGGACTATCCGCAACAGACCTCTTTAATTGGACAGAGACAATATCATTAACCAAACTGTTCTTCCTTCTACCTATGTTTCTATACACCTCCTTATTCCACTTTTTAAGAATTGGAACAAATCTATTGAGCATCTGATTAAAATCAACGTTCTTATTCCACTTATCCTGCATCAGATCGTTGAAGTTGGGATGGTCTAACCAAGAAGCAATAAACCGAAACGGTCTATCTTGCCAAAGATTGGGACGATTGGAAAATTTCACAAGAAGGGGACTATGATCGGAATGATGCCTTGGAAGAATTCGGACTTCAGCATCTTCAAAGCAGATTCTCCAGTTCACATTAACAACTGCTCTATCTAACTTTTTATAAACTCTTTGCAAGTGGTTCCACTTTGGGCCTTGCCAAGTAAATTCAGAACCAGAGCTGATAAGATCATCTATATGACAATCATTTAAGAAACCTGCAAACCTATCACATTTATTCGAATCAGGTTGAGAACCTCACTTCTTCTCCCCCATGCATTTTATGTCATTAAAGTCACCAGCTAAAATCCAAGGAAGGTTAACGTTGAGACTCAATTGCTTAACGTCATCCCACATAACATGCCTTTCGTCTTCTCCAGGACTACCATAAACAGTCGTGCAAAGAAAACTAGGACCATCATCAATCTTCACAGTCATATGAATAAACTGATTCGACTGAGACAAAAGTTGCACTCTTGCCTTTTTATCGTTACTCAACACCCAAATACCACCCGAAAAACCATTAGCCTCCTCAAAGACAGCAGAATTAAACTGAAGTTTCTTCATTAGCCTTCTACTGTTTACACTACCAGTACGAGTTTCTAATAAAACCACCATACAGATATCATGTTTATCTACTAACATCCTTAGAATTCGACCAAGTGAAGGCTTGGCCGCACCTCTACAATTCCAAAAAAGTAAAGACATTAAATACCTTTATTGGAAGATCCAGGCTGAGATTGCACCTGAGACAACCGACCAGTTAAATTCCTTCCTACTCCACGTTGAGAGACTATGGCTCTCGGCTTGGCATTGCTCTCTTTATGCCCCCTATTTTTTGTATCAGGAGGTTTCAAATGTTGCACTCTACCCCTACCATCTGAAGCTTGTTTAACGTGTTGTACATGCATATCTGACGCAGTACCTGTCAAACTTATTTTTGTATCTTCCACCATCAACTGCCCTAAACTAGCATCTTCCCTAGTTCCATCAAAAGTTGGATTTAAACGCACATGCACTGCATTTTGAATCCTTTTGAAAATTTCCTTTTGATCAATCAAACTTATCTCCTCTTCCTTGTCTTGACTCATAATATCGTCCCAAACAAGATTGAAAGCATTTTGAGTTTCCACAAGCCTAACTCTATCATTGGATCCTTGCCTTTTCTGTCCGCTTGAAGTCCGAGTCTTCTCCTCATCCACCAAAATAATTGCTTTCTCTAAACCTTCAACGCGTTGAACATTAGCAGCTTCATTGTTATCTTTTGTTTCGTGTTTATCCTCCTTCGATATTTGTTCAAAGTTAGTATTGCTTCCTATCGCCTCCTTTCCTCCTCCACCTTCTCTTTTACCAGAAATAAATCTTCCTTTTTTTCCTCTTCTAGTTACCACCATCCAAGGCCCGAAGCCTTCTTGACCGTCCTTCTCAACCCCAGCTGTCCCCTTATCCATACGACCATCTACATCAATAGCCATTCCTCCTTCGCCTTCAGCCACACCATTCGACCCCAAGTTGCTGTTACATGATTCAGCTCTATGGCCATACTTGCCACAAGAGTAACAAATGAGATGAAGACCTTCGTATTCCACCTGCTTGTATCTTCCTTCAATCAAATATTCCGCTTTTAGAGGTTTGGTTAATCAACCTCCACACAAATTCTGGCGAACTTACCCCTAGCAAGATTTGTTGTAGCAGTATCCAAGCGAATAAACTTACCTATCCAATCTCCAACACTTTTTATCAGAGGGGTGTCACGTACTCAATAGGAAACCCTGGCAGCCTCACCCACACCGTGATCTTATTAATAGGAGATTGGAAAGCATTGAAATCTGGTTCCCAAGATCGTATTGCCAAATAATGATCGAAAAAAATCCAAGGACCTCCTGATAAAACATGCTCCATATCTGACTTCTTTTCAAACCGAACAAGAAAGAAATCGTTCTCAATGTCTGTTACGAAGATTTTGCCATCTCTTGACCACATGTTATCCAGTCTCTTCCTCAAAAAATTGATTGAAAGCTTCTTCCCAAGCAACTTAATAATCAGCGACTGCTGCCATGGCTTCCACGCCTTTTGCTTGAAAAGAGCAGATAGTTTGAAATTCGTTTTTCCATCCTCCCTCACTTCTAACGTAACTTCCGACGGCTCCTCCATCTTCTCATGGTCATTTTCTTTCTCCTGAACGTGCGCATCATGCTCGATCCCATCCAGGAGCATCTTGTTCCCCTCTTCCAAATCTTTTTCTTCATCCACATCCCATTCCCCATTATGCCTCATGAGGATTTCTTTGAAGCTCATCTACCCATCCATCCATGCCTCTTCCCTTTGGACAGGTGTTTGCTCGCTTGAAAAATGACCTTCTTCCTTGTATTTCTTTTTACTCCTATGCAGATTATCTGATTCATCCGGTGCCAGATCCAGTTCGCGAACGTTGGGTGGCTGCATGGCGGCGAGGGATCCAAGAAACCCTAGTAGAGCGACTGAATAACCCTTCAACTTTAAAATTTAACTAGTACCTTAATTTGATTGTGATAACCAATTATTGATTTCAACGTTAATATGAAATATGTGATATTATTTACTAATTAAAAATTGTAGGTCATATATTTGTGTTTATTTCTATAAATTTTTATCTTATAAATTTATTCACTTTGTGTATGATACTAACGGAATGTTAGGCTTTATACATTATATACATGTTTAAAAAAATATGAAGTAAATAACAATAATAAGTTGGTATTTTATATTTTTTAAAGAAGATTAAGCATAATAACATAGTTTTTATCATGGAAATTATAAAGTCAGGATACCATGTATTAATCTAAAATCTTAAAATATTAAGTTTATGCATTTTTCAAATTATATAGTCACCACCTAGAATGCACGGACACGCCATTTAAAAAAAATTGCGTGTCGGACACTGACACGCGTTCGACACGCGGTCAATATTTTGGAACACGTGGTCAACGCTCCGACACGTTTTTCGAACAAGCGGTCAACTTTTTTCGACACGTGATTAACGCTCCGACACGCATCCGACACATTTTTTTTAAGGTCTAATTTTTTTTTATTAATTAAAAATGAAAAATTAATTTATAAGTCAACTTTTGTCTGTTATGGAATTTGACATAAAAAATTAACAAGATATGAAAAAATTATTTTTGTTTTATATTTATGTTATGAAATTTGAATATTTGATTGGTTATATGACTTATTGTGGACTGTTTTATGTATTAAATATAAATTATATTATATATATTACAAATATTATTTAATATCAAAACATGTTCTAACGTGTCGAAATATGACACTTTTTATAATTAACATGTCTACGTGTCGTATCGTATCGTATCGTGTCTCGTGTCCCATGTCGGTGTCGGCGCGCGCATCATAGGTCACCACTTAGTTCATTTCCAATCAATATGAGTGACTGTTTGGATCCTCTTATTTTTAAGCTAGAAGCTACTTATAAGCATAAGCTAGGCCAAACAGATTTTGGAAAAAGCTCTTATAACGAAAAGCTCTTATTTTTATAATGAAGAAAAAAGCTGAAAATTAAAAGCTTCTAGGAGGAGCTTTTTTTTAAGCTCTTATCTGTTTTTCTCGAATTGTGTGTTTTTTTTTTAAATGAAGAGTGATAAAGATAGAGAAAGAAATAATTTTCTTGAGATATGTGCTTTTAACTCATTTTTAAGCTAAATTTTTTATGTAATTTCCAAACAGCTTTTAGCTTCTTTTTTTAAGCTCTTTTTTTTAGCTTTAGCTTATAAGTAGCTTCTAGCTTAAAAATAAGAGGATCCACACAGGCTCTGAGTCACATTTGAATTTTCAATATTGCCCTCTCGTAAACAACTAACCTATTATACGCAATAAACTTCCACGAAGGTATATCAAATTTAACTTTAACTCCAAGTAGGTACTTGTTTTTCGTTATCCTCTTTATTCAATTCAATGGGTTTAATGCGTTTGAATGCTGAAATATAGAACATGTTCAAGTAATCATAATTTAATAAATAACATACCGAGACAATCTTGCTCGTACAACACAGCATCATGCACTTTTTTAATGCTCCAGCCATCACTCTCTCTGCACTCCTGCTGAGCAGACAAAAATCAATAATCTCAACGGTCCTAATAATCAGTTCGTTTATTACTCTGGTAAGTAGGGAAATTGCTATTGAAAATCGAGGGAAAGCAACAGCAACTTATGTTGGGAACTTGGGATTGTATGTATTATAGAACATTGAGGACTACTTTAGAACATTCACTGTCACACAAGAGATAAAAAGTGATAATAAAGCGGGTAAAAAATGAGTTATCATGGGTGCCAAAAGCGGTAAAACTCAAATAATTTCGTCACATAAGATTGTTGGAAAATGGAAACCTTGAAGGCTATTCCAAAGCCAAATCAAACCATAGAATTTAAGAAAATTCTAGCTTATAAACTACGGGTTATACAGATTTTGACAAATTAATTGGAGAGAAGAGAGTACCAAAAGGGTAGGGGTAGTTAATTTGATGGGAGGATTGGACTTATTCTACCGTGCCCTGTGAATGAAATTGTTGCTGAAGGAAATGTGAGAAAAATAGCTAAACTGATTGGACTAATAGTTGAAGAAGCTCAAAGTGGGGAGAAGGAGAATGAAAATGAATTTGAAGAGGACCTATGCAAAGCATCTACCAAAAGGATAAAGAAAGCGAAATGTGAGCAAATACGAACTCTGGGTTTGTAATGGACACTGCTTCCTTATCTCAATTCTCAAAACCAATCTGAATGAGACAAGTTACATCATGTCCTTAAGCCACATATATAGAGGTGACGATAAAACTTTCCTACGAATGTTGCATAAAATGTTTTCTTAGTAAAAAGAATATTTTGTGAATATGATTTGACGACATTGTCAATTTGTCATGTAATGCATTTGAATGGTTGATGATTGTATGCTTTTTTAGTAGTCGGATCAGAATTTTTTTTTTACGTAGGCCAAAAACTTGTTGCCATAGCTTTGCTAGATTATACCATTCATATTGTACCATGATATATACAAAAGTTCAATGGAAAAGAGTATGTCATTTTTTTTTTTGATAACAAAGAGTATGTCATTTTAAAGGATGTAAAGTTGTGTCATTTTAAGAGAGAGAAATAGATAGATAAAGGAGGAGAGGGAGTTGACAAAAAAAATAAAGGTGTGGGTCCCACTTCTTTATGAGAGTGAAAGGATATAAATTGTGTCATTTAAAAGGATAAATATCTTTCCTAAAGTTCATTTATGATTTCACATCCTTTATTTCTTCTACTGTTTTAAACAAAGGTAACGAGGAAACATGGGAAAAACTAATATTATGTAACATGATATAAATTTTTTTTACCTACTCACCCATTGGTTTCTGCACCAGCATTTTTTATTTTTTGTTTTTATTATATGTATGGGACCCACATGATTTTTGTTTGAATAGAAAAAATATTTTAGATTATGTTATATGATAGTAGATTTATCCGGGAAACATACACCAAAATAGAAGAAGAATAACAAGTTTTTTATTTAAAATTTTAAAAGTAGATAAGAAGTAAAAGGAATGCAAAAAGGATTTATTCTTCCTTCATTTTTCTCAAAGGCCGAATTACTGTATCATTTCCGCTCCAAATATAGTGTTAAACTCTTTTTTTTTTTTTATCTTTTCTGATTTATTACAAATTACATTATTTAATTATTTTTCCCTGTTTTTTAAGTTTAGGGTGAGGGGATATTTTTTTCATCACAAGGTTACGCCAAAACTATAAATTTCAATTATAATTTATCATAAGATGATTATATAATATTCATTAACGAAAATATTTTTATTTTATTTTTGGTAAACATTAACGAAAATATTTTAATTCAAACATAAGTGCAGTTTTCAAGAATAAAACCCCCACTAAATTGGCCAACTTGACATTATTATTTTGACCAATCGATAATGAGGCATGATATTTTTATACCGGTGTAAGAGTTAGAAGTCTTATACTCAATTTTGACCATTGATCCACTTGTATCCAATGACTCACATTACTAAAAAATTAGAGCCCCTAGATATAAATGAGATCAACGGACAAGATTAAGAGTGTAACTTACACTGGTGTAAAATGATCTGACCCATCGATAATAGCTTTATTTTAAGGAAAAAATATTTCTCCAGTCATCGGAGATAAAATTATCTCTAGTGAGCTCAAAATGACGTCGTTTTAGGTTATAAGATTAAAAAATTATAATGACAAAGATTAATATAACTCTGCAATATATTATAATTACAAAAATACCTTGATTTCTGTCCCAAAACGACGTCGTTTTGAGCTCACTGAAGATAATTTTATCTCCGATGACGGGAGAAATCTTTTACCCTTATTTTAATTAGGAGTGTTCGCAGTCTGGATTGGATCAATTTCAGAAGCAAAAATCATCTGATCCAATCTCTTCGGTTTGATCATATAATCATCCATTTGATTTGAATTTTATTTCAAATCCGATCCGATCCGTTCAAATCCAATTTTTTTCGGTTTGGATTGGATCGGTTTTCGATTTTTTGAAAATCCTAAAATTTGTTTCATGATTATTGTGTAAATAACATCTTTTGTATAAATTGACTTTGTAATTTTTTTTTTGAAATACAAAAGCATCAGTAAACGGTAATATAATTTTTTTTTAGGCAATAAGATATGAAGCTCTACACAGATGAAATCGTGTTGATGAGATATGACTAGGCTTTTTCTTGGGTTTAGTTGATGGGTTAATGGGTTTTGGGTTTAGAAATTTTTGGACTATGATTGGAGAAAGGCCCAAGTAGGTAGAGGGGAATTAATATATTGGATCGGTTTGGATTGGATCAGTTTTCATCAACCAATCCGAAAACCGATTCAATCCGAAAATCGATCCAATCCAATTAAAATTTGCAATTTTTTTCGATTTTTGATTTTTCGTTTTTTGGTTTATTCGGTTTTCGGTTTTTCGGTTTAGTCACCGCGGTTTGAATCGGTTGATGAACACCCCTAATTTTAATTAGTTTTTTTCCACAATTTCAATAATTATTTCACTTAAACTTTTGTGGGAAAAGATATTCTAACAACCAATTAGTGTTACTACCAATGTTACTACCAATCAATTTCACCGTTAGATTGATTATGGTGATCCAACGGATATATTTATTTCCATCTTTGTAGGGTTATGATTCTCCATATTTAATACTTTATATTTATTTTCACCTTTGTATGGTTATGATTTTTCATATTTAATGCTTTCACATTAAATATAAGAAATCATAACCATACAAAGATGGAAATAAATATAACTGTTGGATTAACATAATCGATCTAACAGTAAAATTGATTGGTTGTAATATTGGTAGGAACACTAATTGGTTGTTACAATATCCTACCCCAACTTTTATAGGACATAATTTTAAATGAGGTCAATTTTGCCATTTAATTGTTTTGAATTTTTAACATATTATTGTATGTAAGTTTAATTGTGATAACTATCACATAAATTATTTAAAATCACATGATTTGTTTGGCATTTATTAAAGGGAAAAATATTTTTGCAGTTAATGTAGATAAGTTATCTGCATTTATTCCCAAAACGACGTCATTTTGGTATTGAAATCTTAAAACATTATAAATATTAAAACTATTATAACCCTGAAATGAATTAAAATTACAAAAATACCACGATTTTCGCCTCAAAATGATGTCATATTGGCATTACTGCAAATAAGTAGAAAAAACGAACCATTTATTAAATATCTAAATGTATTAATTACTAAAATTAAATCACAAAAAGACATTTAAAATATAGCATTAACTTTTCTGTAGTTGTTACAGACAAAATTGTCTACCACTCTCACCAAAAAAGTAGTGGATTTCACAAAAAAGGAGTGAAAATTTGCCTATACATAAACTCTGGGGAGTACTAAGTGTGTGACGGATAAAAATTTCTACAGCAGTTGCATAAATATTTTCCCTTGAAATATAAGATTTTGCATTTGTCATGTTATAAGATAAGACATTGGTCCTGCAATCTCGTATAATTATCTATTTTTTGAAATATATAATTATAATATTAAAGTTATTTTTTTTTTCTATTTTCATCTCAGCCAATAGATTCTAAAAAATAATTGAAGAGAGAAAGAAAAAATAATTTTATATTATAATTATATATTCTCAAAATATATAATTATAATAATAATGCCGGACAAGTTTCTCAGTCATGAATTTTTTTTTTATTCTTATATTTTTTTTAAAGAAAAAATTATATTTACAAATTCTTACAAATTATATTAAATATAATCGCTCATACTTTTATAACAATGTATCATATGACTAGGCGATCATCCTTAATATAATTTATAAGCTGATCCTTCTCATTTCCTAAAATATATCGGCAATTCAAGCAAGTTAATATCTATTTCATTTTTCTTTTTAGTTGGTTCAACTAATAAGAAGAAATAACGTGATGAAAAAAGTTTGATACCAAATTCATTGATATCTACCACTGCGCATAGAATGAGATAAAATTTTCCTCGTACCTATGAATATTAATAATTAAAAAAAAATCTATCTTCTTTCGAGTGGGTTATTGCTAAGTTGATCGATGAAAGATATGGGTTGATCTTCTTTTTCTTTGATTCAGTGGCAGATTCTCTCAAAGGTGCATTAGTTCATAAAAGAAATGCATCACCAAAGCAAGGTAACAAATATCCAAGCCTTTGCTTTGTTTCATACTCTTCTAAGTTCCTCTTATATATATAGAGTGTCTGAAACACACCAAAAGATTTAAGCATAAAACTATCATTACAAAGTAGAAGAAGAAGAAGATGGGGAATTTATATGAAGATATTGATCATCTTTACCATGTGAGAGGTTGGAAATCTGAAGAATTTTGCAAATTGAGGGTTTCCATAATTCATTTATACTTGAAAAGTGTAGGTGTCAGGAGCAGGGCAACCGTTTCTCAGTTACTTTTTATAGTTGTGTTGCATGAGTTGAATTTTTTTTTTTTTTATAATTATTTCTTGGTTAATGGTTGGGTTAAGATGGATCTTCTAGCTAGCAATATATTGGTGCTTTTCTGTGAGTTTGAATTCTGCTGTTCATAAAAGTATTCATCTGTAAACTGAGAAAAGGAGGATTATCTGTGAAATTTATATGATTGATGTTAAGAAAAAAGAAGAAGCATCTTTTAGGTTTTTCGAGGCATTAAAATGTATACAATTGATTGTTCAACTCATTGATCTCCCAGATGCTCAAACAGTCTAATGAAGAACAAGATTTAAGTGATATGAAGGTAAAGCCGCACATCATCCTTATTCATTGAAAGAAACCCTTTGCTTCCTCCTTCCCACCACTTAAAAAGCAAATGAAGAAAAGGAATTTGCCACCCCTTTTTTTTTCTTCTTTAAAATTACCTATGGTGATCCTTGTCATTTATAGTAGTTTCTGTGGCAGGTTAGAAATTGTGATACAGCAAAAAGAAGAGTTCAAAGGTATGATATCCAACATCTTCTGTATCTTACTTCATCTTTTTAGACTGCGCAGGAGGCAGATTATGAACGATTGTTTTAAGATTCCTGAACAGTCTGCAGCCTGCACAGATTATCAGTGTTATTAGGATATACATTTTAACATACAATGTTCTGTTCGAGTGGGATGCAGCTTAAGGATCATTGATGAGGAAGCAGCTGGGATTGCATCAATCCAATTAGGAGATTTGAGTAGTAGTTGGTGCTCACTGGATTCTTTTAAACCAGTTTGTGTTGAGGCAGCTAATAAATACTTCTTAGTTCATAAAGTAACTCTGTCCTCACCTTCCCCTGCACTCTGCTTTGTGGAGACAGTGCCTCAAGATGGACAAAATTCTCATATTACAGCTTTTAATTCAGGAGATGGATCCTCAAAGTCAGATAATGAGTCAGCTTCATCTAAGACCATGCGGGATGTACATATAGTAAGAACCACTACTGCATGTCTGAACCTTACAATGCACATCAAAGTTGTCTATTTTCAACTTTGCAGCACTGCTGGACTCTTCCTGTATATAATTAGCATCGTAGAGCCCCCAGACTACTTATGTTTAATAAGTACTCTTTTCTTTTTTTCCAGTCAACACGGTTAATGGAGGACTTTCTTGATCTTGCTAAAGAAAATTCAGAAAAGGATCTTGAAACGTGTGGTATACTTGGTGCTTTTCTTGTAAGAATCATTATAAAACCATATCATTTTGTCTTTGGCTGTCTTGTTGAATTTGCTTGTGATCTTAAAGGCTGTACAAAGACAGAGATATTAGCTCTATCAGATTATGGCATTATTATCAGAAAATTTCCACAAAAGAGCAGTGTGTCATACCTCCAGCATAATTACTCCTTCTTTTGGGTCTTTCAGTAGATTTGGAATAAACAAGATTCACACCCTCATGTAATCTATTTTACAACTGAAATATCTCTCTCTCTTCTTCTCTCATATGAATTTACACTTGTCATGTTTATTTCTGCTTCTTTTCTTAATGCTGGTTGGATGTTTTTGACCTTCTATCTTGTATGGTTGATTTTAAATTTAAATCTGCCAGGTTAATCTTTTCTAGAAAAGAAATGAAGAACCTTATCTGATAAAATGCTTTAATGGATATGTGATTATGTCCTTCAATTCTCCAGGAGAAGGGAACCCTCTATATGACTACTCTGATTATACCCAAGCAGGAATCGACTTCCAATTCTGTTAGTATACGGGTTGCAGTTTACATTCTTTGAAGTTTGGTTTGACAATATTTTAGCACATATTTTCAAGATGGCATGCTTTTATTACTGCTTGTTGCTAACTTACTACACTGAATCACAGTGTCAAGCTACAAATGAGGAGGAAGTTTTCACAATTCTAAATGAAAGATCCCTTTATCCTGTGGGATGGATCCATGTATGTCGTCCTACTTTTTTGCTATGTTAATTAAGAGTAGGGGTGTTTACTTGTTCGGTCCAGGGAACTTCACAAACCAATCCTGTCATGGTTGGGTGGGTCAAGTTTAGGGGGAAAAAATTATGAACCCAAACAAACCTAACTTAGCAATCATTGGGTTGGTTTGGGTCTAGTTAATCGAATTGGGGTGAAAACAGCATTGCTTTGGGGATGAAACCAAAAAATGACATAGTTTAGTATTTAAAAAAAAGAAAGGTTATTAGATTCACTACATTGGGTCAGATTGAGATATTAAAACTGACCATCCAACTTGTTTAGGTTGGGTTGTCCTTAAGTAAGCTTAGTTGGAAAGGAATGCCAAAGGTCAAAACCACTTGGCAATCTATTAAATTACGGGTAGCAACTTTGTTCAAAACTATTCTTTTAAGTGTGGTGAGTACTAAAGCATACTAACAGTTTATATCCATTGAAACTACGAAATGTTTTTCCCTTTCTTCTTTGAGATTGCCCACTTTGATCAAATTATACTTGTCCGTCATTATCTTAAGGTAGCATTAGGGCCCATATTATTTTCAAATCATAAATCCTTACAAAAGACACCATCCTTCTTTATCCCATGTTACTCAACTTAAGCTCAGCAACAGCATTTCCTCCTGGTTAGACTTCTTTAACCCTTCTCTTTTCTTCTGAACATTTTTAGACACATCCTTCTCAAAGTTGTTTCATGTCATCGGTGGATCTGCACACTCAATATTCCTACCAGGTGATTGACCCAGTATATGTGCTATTACTGAATTTTTTCTTGTAAAAGCATTTCTTTGTTCAACTGTTTTGGACTTCATATCAGTATCTATAGTATTATTTCCTTTATGAATGTCATACATGTTGCATAACATTTTATCATGTGAATTAAATTAAAATTTTCATTTGTACCATGGTTGTATTAACTAGTTGACGTATTCAAAGAGAATTTAGAAAAAGATTTTGTAGCATAACCTTTATGATTTTGGTGGCGGCCAGCACTTAGGACCACTCTTGTTAGGGATAAGCAGATCACTGTATGTGGTAATATATGCATATTGAATTCTTTTTTGCTAAAGTTGATGATTAAAGGTGAATTGAAAGATATTTAAATTTAAGAAGGTACGATTACAAAATATTTCCTTTAACAAAACAACTTAAAATGGATTGCAGGTGATGATAATAATCAAACTAACTCTTAATACTGGCATGGATATTGACTTGAAATATATTTTAGAGTAAATACAATTTTTGGTCCTCAGCAAATTTCACGATATCCACTTTAGTCCCTAGCAAATAAAAAGGCTATTCGTGTTCCCTAAGAAATTCAAAATGGACCCATTTAGTTGAAATCGTGATCCCTCACAAATTCAAAAAAGACTCACATTAGTCCCTCAAAAGGATTAAAATGGGTCCACTTTGAATTTCTTAGGGACCACGAATAGCCTTTTTATTTGCTAGGGACTAAAGCGGACATCGTAAAATTTGCTGAGGACCGAAAAGGGTATTTACTCTATATTTTAATTATACTTTTCCCTTTGCAGACCTAGTTTGAACTCATAGCTTGGTGTTATTTTATCAGGTGATGATTCCTGAGGCATTTGCCATTGTCTTGGCACCAAATGATACCTCAAGGTCTACTTGTTGTCTTTTATTTTATGATATGGACAAATTCTCATCAATTCCTCTTGTTATCTTTGCACTTATAACTAACTGTTGTGTTTCACCTAAAATTTGGATATCTAGTCTATTCTAATGAACATTTTTGTCTAGTAGAATAGACTCAATAGAGTAGATAAATAATTCCTTACACTTGTAATTGCATTCAATTTGCATACTTGGGCAACAAAGGAGGCTGTGTGAATGTAAGATATTGTGAACAAAACCGGCTTATATGTTGCTTTGAATCTGATTTGTAATATGAACCTACTATAGATCTATAATGCTATAGTACTTGTACTAGCTTCTCTTGAACCACAATGTAAACCTATTTCCAAGTAACCAGAAATGCTATGTTAAGAAAGAGTTGCGCTCCACTGATGAAATGAATTTGCTTGTTATGTGATGATTTGTATTCTTTTATGGTTGATTACTAGGGCATTGTAAAAAAAAATATGGGTTTAATATTTTTCAAATTATAGAAGATAAAATTATCTCCTATACACACATAAAAGTGTATGGGTTACATGTTTTTATTTTCTCTCTCTTCTCCTCACATTGCCCCATATGAGTTCTACACACTTTTGTGTGTTATCTCTTACAACATGAAAAACATTAAACCCGAAAAATATATGGCTAAAAAATTATGAATGTTGAGAATTCTTCTAACATATGCTGATAAAAGCATCAGGGAACTCAAATTTGGTGATTTCCTGCAGGAGCTGTGGACTATTTCGCCTAACTGACCCTGATGGAATGAATATTCTAAAAAATTGCCAAGAGCAGGGATTTCATCCACACAACGAACCAGATAATGGCAACCCCGTTTATGAGCACTGCTCCAATGTGTACAAAAACTCCAATCTAAGGTTTGAAATCTTTGATTTACGCTAAAATGACTTTGATTACAGCACACTCTATCCTATGGCAGAAATGGAGTATAATTACAAGGGACATACATGTCCTATTTACACCTGAAAGAATAATGCTGATATATATTTGTTGTAATGTTCGGTTTAATAAGGATTTCATTGCTTTCTAGCTCTTCTTGCCTCAGAATTTAATCATGAAGTCCAGAAAGTTGACTTCGTTGCTATGATTAGTTGTCACATGTTTGAAACTAGGAAATTGGAGCAACCACTCAATCTAAATATTCACGAGTAATGCGTTGGCTACATGAATCTTAAATGAACACGAAGAACTAGTTTGGTTTTTCATTTTCTACAAGGTTAAGATTTGTCTGGTCGGTAAGATGTTGGCATAATACGAATTGTGCCAAATTTCAAGTGACAATTTTTATAAAGATAAAAATTTAAGACATGTATAGTACTTGAATTGTTAGCATTGGTGAGCTTAGGTTTGTATATGTCGATATGGAGGTGATCTTAGAGGCAACCATATGAATCAAAGCTCTTGAGGGAGTTACTGTGTGAATATCTCAAAATGGTTGAGAGAGGAAGAAGGTGTAGTGGGCATGGTGACTATATACTTTGATAGAATAAAAGCTCATAAATGCAATGGAAGCAAGATGTCCCTTTAACGAGTGAAGTATCACACCACAAGGTCTTCAATGGTGAGTTGTATTGGGGGTGAGAGATCCTATACTATATGGGTATGTAATTCTTATTGAGTAAAGTACGTTGTGGGTCCCCGATAAAAAATACGGTTTCTACTTTCATCTTTTATAAAAAAAAATACATATATTAGTTCTTTTTTAGGGATTAAATTGGGTATTTATTGAATTTTCAAGAGATCACATCTTAAGAGAATTGGAATTGTAGAGGGACCAAAAGTTGATTTTTTCTTTCCTAGGGGCGAAAGTGAGGATTATATTTTTTGTTAGGAACCGAAGAAGCGTTTAACTCATTTCTTATTTTAAGGAGACTGGAAATGATCCCTTAAATGGGCCTGTAAGGGCCAGCCTATGAAGTTGAGTTGTGACCCAGTCTAGAACAGGAACAGTACTGTTAACATATATGTTACTATACAGAAATTATAAATTGCATAATTCTATGTGAGAAAAAGTTAATGGAATTCATTCATGAGTAAAGGTAAAAAAAAATTATGCAGCAATAATAAAAATGATAAGCCCGTATATCAATTACTAAAATGAAAAATGAATAACATATTTGAATATGTTTTGTTTTTTGTTTATAAAAACTGTTTTGAATATAAAATTTGAGAATAGAGAACAATAAAATTTGTTTGGGTATAATTATATTTAAATTTATAAAAAATTATAAAAATACCATAAATGAAGTTTCAAAATTTCAGATTATCACTGTGAAGTAATTTACAATTTAAAAATATAAATTTATTTATGAAAATACTATTAATGAATCCTTATAGTTATAAAATTGTCACTGCAAAAACAAGAAAATCAGAAAATAATATTTTAAAACATCCCTAAGTTGATCTCCATTTTAAGCCTTTAAAACAAAAATAAATATTATTTTGCAAGTCTTTTTTACAAAACAATTTTTTTCAAACAATTTTTTTTTTTTTTACTTTTTTGTTTTAAAAACTAAAAGATTAATGCCCATAAAAATTGCAATACCAGATGATCCATGTTTAGTGATCAATACAAGTCATTTAGGTTCAGATGGAGTGTGAATGTTAAACTAAACTGATGAAAAAAACTAAAAAAATTGTATGAAATAATATTTCTTTTTTCTTAAAAATTAACCAACAGTCTTATACTTGGAACACTGACCAAAGTGCTATCCTTCACCAAATTATTTACCAGACTGTCTTGCTAATAGTAAAAAAATTTGGAATGTCACGCGGCATAATTCGCTACATTGTGTAGCGAATTATGATTGCTGTAGCATGTGGCACATCTCAATTGGAGAAATAATTCGCTACACAATGTAGCGAAATACGTGGTCAAAATGTCAGAGTGCACAGTCAGCAACAGGACACGTGTCAAGCCAGCAATAATTTCCTACACTGTGTAGTGAATTATGTAACATGATGTGGCAAAGTTCTGTTGGTTGAGTATTTCGCTACATAGTGTAGCGAATTACTGTTGGCTTGACACTTGTCATGTTGCTGATTGTGCACTATGATATTTTGACCACGTATTTCGCTACACAGTGTAGCGAATTATGCCGCGTGATATTCCGAAAATTTTTACTAGACCGAATCCATTCGATTTTGAATTTTCAAAAGGATTACGAATCCTTAACTTTTCGAGAACAATCTGATAAATAATTTAACGAAGCGTGACAAAATAAGTAAATAATTTGGTGAAGCGTGCCAAAATGATCAGTATCCTTTATACTTGGTTTGCCAAACACCCAATCAAACAGATGCTAACTGACGTGAATGTGTCTCGCCGCGTGACTGAAACATCACAATCACATATGCTAGTGTGAAAGTTTGGCAAATTTGTGGGTTCCTGAAAAGTTAGCACTTAATCAGTTTGCTATTTCCGAGTGATTACTTCAGAAAGATGCAAATGTGAATCTCTTTCTTTCCTTTCCCAGAAAATCAGAAGAATCAAAGAAAGGCTTTGTCAAATCCGCGTATCGTATCATACTGCTCCTTCTGCAAGTTCCATTACCGTAATGCCATATGAATCCTCACTTTCTTGCATTAATTTTTAGAGTTTTGAACTTCTCCTTCTCATTTTTGTGTTGAACGATTTTTATTTTTTTATTTATATTAAATATTCTATTATTTTTAGTAGGGTAATTTTGTAATAATAAATTATTAGGATAAAAGAAATATTGTAGTACGGACGTAATCATGATGAGTCTGAACATAACTATTGTAATATAAACATAATTACGGTGACCAATATATATATATATAGGGTTTGGTATTTGTCATTTTAAATGACAAATTATGTCATTTTAAGAGAGAAATAGACACAAGAAATAAAATTCATGGGAGAAAAAGTGGGTGGTTTTTTTTAATTTAAATTTTAAATAAAAAAATATTTTTTGTATTTATCTCTCTTAAAATGACATAACTTTATGTCATTTAAAATGACAAACATTTTTTCTATATATATATATATATATAAAATTATTGTTAAGATAAATATTTTAAAATAGTAATGATACGAACTAGCTTAAAAAATGCACCGTGAACATTGACATTGAACTCTTAACACTTTGATTTGTGAACATTTTAATAATTTTTATAAGAAAATGACTTATTGTCCAGACTATAATAAATTTATAATTAATGAGTCATTTTAATAAATTACAATCAATCTAATGAAAAATTAGCACTATAATTTGATGATTTTATTGTTTGAGAACTTTTCTTATAATGATTTATTAGAATTTTACATACTTGTTTATTACGTTATAATATAGATTTATTTATGACACTATGATTTATTAGAGATTTATTTCTATTTGATTATTGTGAAGAACCTTGGAATAGTAAAGAACCTTGGGATACATCACCCCAAAAGCCAGCTCAAAGGGTGGGAGTACCCAAGGTCTTATAAAGGTCATATTAGTTGTCCATCCAATCAATGTGAGACTATATATCTCAACAATTATTGTGGAAAGTTTTGGATGTATTTATTTAAATTAATATATAATGACGAGTAAACAATATAATACATATTAGGGAGATCTTATAGTTACTATCTTTTTTTTCTTACTACTTGTTACTACTAAATCTTAACCGTTGATTTCCGTCAATCTAACGGTTATAATTTATTAGAATTAATAATTAATTAATAAGTGTGACCCAATAAATTATAACCGTTAAATTGACGGAAATCAATGGTTAAGATTTGGTAGTAAGTAATAAGAGAAAAAGGTAATGACTATAACTTTTTCCTACATATTATGTTAAAAGAAAAAATAAAATAAAATGTAACAGTTAACCGGGTGCCGAAGGAAGAGCGAGAGCGATAGATAAAAAAATCCTTTTATGCTACCCACCTTAGTTATTGTTTTGCTTTGTCAGCATAATGATAAAATTAACACCAAAAATATGAAATTCCCTAACTAAAAGAAAACCTTCAACCAAAGTTCGAGACAAGCACATATAGATAGAAAGAAAAAACTAAAAGCAAATATGTAAACATTATGTTTGACAAACAATGTTTTGCTTGATTGTGTTACTTACATTAAATGGCTTATTTAGCGAGTATTTTATCATATTTGATTGTCGCATGATTTTATGTGACTTTACATAATCAGAATCTTCATGTGATTTACTAATTATTGTAATGTTTTATTTTCTATTAAAAAATTTATATTCTCACTATATTATTATATAAGTTCATTTGAGTAAAAATATCTAAATTAGATGATCTTATTTAAATATAGCAGGATCGAAAGACGTAATGCAATACAAATATTAGGTTAAACTTATCAAGGGTGTTACACTCAAGGCAAGTATTTTATTTAAAAATTAAAATTATGATAACAATTAAGCATTAAAACTTTTCTATTTAAATTAGATTCAAATTAATTTTTCAATAAAAGTTAAATTAATAACTTTTATATCGAAATATTATAACTGAAGTAATATTTTAGAAACTTCTGGCTACTTTCTTTCTTGGTCCGTAAGAATATGAGTGGAAGAGAAATGAGAATTCTGCACCAGAGGCATTGTTTTCTCCATGTGGACGGCCATTGCTGCTTCTTTTTTGCTTTTTTTAAATTGCTGCTTGTCTTTTCATTTATGTCGCACAAGTGTGGATCCGCCAGCGATTTGGACAGCTCATTCATATTAATTCTGTTTCTGGTTGAGGTGGTTGAGCGTTTGAGACAAGATCCTGTGATGATTTTTTTTTAGCAGATAGAGCCTCAGATGATTTTTACCATTAAAACTTACCATTATTGTGACTATGGCATCTTATTATATAAAATTACAAATAATAATCAAGTTTTACTGTTTACTTTTTCTACAATTTAGATAATTTATTTACGTTGAGTCTCGAAACGACATCATTTTAAGATAAAAATCAAAGTATTTTTATAATTATAATTTATTTTAAGATTATAATAATCTTTTTCATTATAATTTTTAAAATTTTCAATCCAAAATAATATCATTTTAAAAGTGAATATAAATTATTTATCTACGTTTACATTAAAGCCCAAGTTTTATTACCATAACTGTATGTGCAATATTTATGTCTATCACTTTTCATATATATTAATGGGATAAGATATTGTGACATACAAATAATGTTACGCACAATGTTACGACCACATTTTAACCGTTGATTTTCGTCAATCAACGATTATCATTTATTGCGAATTAATAATTAATTAATGAGTTTGATTTGAAAAATGATAACCGTTGATTGGCGGAAATCAACGGTTAAGATGTGGTCGTAACATTGTGCGTAACATTATTTGTGTGTCACAATATCCTATCCCTATATTAAATAGGTGGAATTTAATTGTAATTTATTAACATTAACGACGAAATAAATAAACACAAAAATTTCATGTCACTGTTAATGTCAATTTTTAACATAAGAAAATCGATTCTCAATGGTATAGCTATCCTTATCCCCCAGCACTTACAAAAAAATAAAATAAAAAAACATTAAATAATTAACTCATTATAACATCATTGAACATCCATGGAGCAGGGGGGGAAAAATATATGCAATTTTTTTTTTTATCAGATATATTCAAATATTTTAACACTAAAAAAAGATCAATGAATTTACATCACAGCAAAAGAAACCCAAGTTAGGTTGCTGAATTACTAACATTTACACAAAAATAAATCAAAATTATGAATTTGATTTGATGAATTCCCGTGAGCAAAAGATCTCAATAAGGATGAACATTCCTGGTGAATCCGTTGGCATTGGCGAAGAACCCAAACAGTTCTTGCCTATACGGCAAATAAGACTTGCGTTTATCGCTCTCTTTCTTCGCTCTATTCATCACGTAATGCTTCTCGTGCGCTGACGACGCCGTTTTCCCCTTCACCTTCTTTACGACAGCGTTTTTAGCTTCGCCGGATCTCGGCTTCTCGGCTTTCGCCGCCGATGCAGTATTCAAGAACACGAAGGTATCCTTGCCGTCGCTGTTGCACCGGAGCTTCAGATCCCGGAGTCTCCAAATCTTCGAGAATCCCGTCGAGTTGCTCTTCACCGCCGTTTGCGGAGACCACTCGCAGTAAGGCCCATCCGGCACTCCCGGCGCAGAAGACGCCGCCGCCGAAGACGACGAGGGATAATCGTCGGGGTGTTGGACGAAGACCTTCTTAAACGGCGGCCGGAGACCGTCGCCGCCGTCGTAATCATCGGAAAACAGGAGATCCTGGTTGAAAACAGGGAAAACCGGGCGTATCTGGCCGTTGTCGAACACCTCGTCGGCGGAGATTAGCGAGCCATCGGGATTCGCGAACACGAAGCTAAACTCTTCCTCTTCCTCATCTTGTTCTTCTACCTTCTCTTCAATTTGCTTGCCTTCGTTTTCGATTTTCTCATCGTCGATTTTGAGCTTGGCAATGAAATCATGTTCGAACTTTCCAGAAACCTCAACGGCTTGCATTTTGAGTGAGCGCGTGAGTTTGTGTTTTGAAGGTGGTTTTGCAGTGATGAAATTAAAACGGTTATTGTTATATGGTTATGGTTGGAGTTGTTGGAGATGGTAACGCTGAAGAAGAGTATGATGAGAATAGCTTGTTTTTATATGTGAGGTTGAGAAGGCTCTTCTTCAATTATGGGTTACCTTTGATTTTTATTCGGTCTTTCGAGTAATTTGAAAGTTCTTTCAATTTTTTTAATGTGCATTCACACGCTTCTCGTGTTCAACTGTACACGTCTTGGTCCCTTCGAGAAGGTAACTCTTTAATAAGAACATCCAAAGTCAAAATTTGAAAAACTCGTTTAAAATAAGTATTTTAATCTCTTTATTCTCTAAAAAAAAAAAATTGATGGTGCCTCTAATATGGGGCATTAAGTAATTTAAATTTACTTTGATTGGTGCATTAAAAAGATAGGTACGTGGGGCATGACTTGTGCAGAGCTCACGGGTTGTGTGATGGAACTGGCCGTGGCTAATGTCACTGATGACTTGGGTAACTAAGTGTTGCGTCATTGCTTTGTTATTTTTGCTTGTTGGCCAAGGTTATGAACTATCTATTTAATGAGAGTATGAGACGACACGAGAAATTATACGATTCATATATTACAATTTATTCAAAACTTAATAATCAAGTTGGTATTACTGTATTAAAAAAATAGCACTATCAGTCATATGCACGTGCAAAAGATTATCCAAGAGTATATTAATATTTTCTTTTGGTGAGCTCAAGACTATATAAATGTTAATAGACTCGTTCAATTCTTCATTGAGTTTTTGAATGTCAATTGTGAGGTGACGCATTGATTAATTAAATTTTGGAGGCTGAAGCACGCAGAAAATGTTATTTATACATCATACACCCCACATTTATTTTAGATATAGGTTATGTAATAAAATCATAATGCAGTTATATTAAAATAAAATAATGGAACAAGTGTTTGTCGACCTAGAATTATGTCATTTTAATTAAAATTCTTGTGTTTTATCATAAGAGAAACGATTACACAATAGAAATTATGTTAAGAGAAAGTGAGATATTTTTTTAATTTAAATATTAAATAAAACATAATAATTTTAACTAAAATGACTATGATAAATATTTTTCCTAAAATAATATATGTATATATATATATTTCTCCTATGAGAAGAAATAAAATTATCTCTTGCAAGCCAAAATGATTTCATTTTGGGATCTAGTATTAAAAATAAGGGAAAAGTTCAAATAACTCCCTTGGTTTGCCTTTTAATTACTTATCTTCTATGCTTTTTTTTCATCCAAATCCCTCCTTAAGGTGCTCCGGACACTTCATCACTGTGAAGATTCGTTCCAACTGCTGGAGCCAAGCTACTATGGGCTCATAACCTCCCACAAAAGAAAGCGGCTAGTGTTTCCTGAATGCATTGAATCGCTTCTCCTTCAGCTTCGCTTAATTCATCATAACCCCTTGCGATGGTGGCTTATAAGTGCAGTGACTCCCACTCGTGCCAACACGGTGACTAACGAATTCACCCCCACCCTTATCCATTTGGGTATGCGGAGGAGGCGGTGGCGGCGCAGTGGCGGTGGTGGATGTTGGTCATCATTGTGGCCGGCCCTCATCTCCTCCAACATAACTCGCATCATGGTCATGATTGCTAGATGATTCGCCTCTAGCACGTCCGTAGTAGCTTTCCTATTCGCTTCTTGAACGACGTCCATCATCGCCTGATTGGCCAGTCTAATGGCCTCTTGATCGGCTTATGCAGTAACGATATGATCTGGTCGACCCTCGTTCATTTCACAAGTTTTCCTAGGAGGTGTCATAACTCTGCATATGTTTACACAAAGGAATGAGTTTATCACTTAGTGGTCACACATGCATTATCACAACACAACCTAAAATTACTCGCAGACAAGACATACATTGGAAAACATAAAGCTTTTCCCTAGAAAGTTTTGCTCTGATATCATAAAATGTAACACCCTGTGTGCACCCGGTGTATTAAACATACAATGGTATGAAGCGTAACTTGTTTCATTAATTAAACGTGGAAGCTATAATCTATACTCTTAATTGTTCATTAATCCAATATACGAATTAACTTTTTTCTTTTTAAACCTATTGATAAACCCTTGGTTTACCATGGTTTTAGGTTAAATTATACAAGAAATATATCATGGATTGCATGAAAATTAGGGTTTTACACCATAAAAGCATAAGATTGAATCTCTAGCTAACATCTTGTAATACTTCTTATTTTCAAGGTATGTTGACATCAATTAAGGCTTAAAGGAGCAAAAGGAATCAATGAGATGATTGAATATCAAAGAAAGCAAGTTACAAGTATTTGCAAGCTGAAGGAGAGCGTTTTAGCGTCCTAATGGGCACTAAAACGTGCTGATTCGATCAACTTTGGGCCCATGGAAGATTTTATATCTTAATCAAGATGTGAATAAGATTTCACGAAGATTAGAAGAGGAATTAAAAAGATATATTCTCCTCTATTAATAGAGGGCCTTGGGACCAATTGAAGGATCATTCATTCAACAACAGAGAGAGGTCTGAAGAAGCACACGAGGAATCCTGTTGCGAAGCATTGAAACATTGAGGAACCAAGTCAACATCACACCAATGGAGGCTTGGAGAATTATTTTCTTTCTATTGCTTTTAATTCCAGTATGCTAGGCTAAATTTCTATGTAGTTAGGGGTAAATGGAACCCAATTGAATCGTATGTTTTGAATTAAATTGTCTCTGAATTCTTTTTTTTTTATATTTGAATAAATTTATCTGTCTTTAATACTTTCTGAGTTTGCTCCTTATAGATTGATTTAGGGAAATTGTATGACAATAGGAATATTGGTGCATGAACCTTGACTTGATAGATTTATCACAATTCTTGTGATATAGGGATACACATAGGGTATTTGTGCAATCCTTTAATTCTTAATCTTAATGCATGTTTTCTTGGAAAATAACCGGGGAACTAGGGTTCTTCTAAGATCACATAGATTTAGGGTAACAAGAAATTGAGCCCTAATTAACTTAGAAAAAATTGATTGGCAATATTTTAAGAACAGATTCTTAACAGTTTTATTTATAGCATATAAAGGAGATTGGGGGAAGTCGAAACCCTAACTACGCTTGTTTTTAATCTTTAAATCAACTCATCTTTCTGTTTTATTTTAATTTTGAATTTGCATGTTATTAATTGTTTTCTTTTTTAATTAAATTTCCTTCATCTAAATCTTGACTGTCCAACTAAACCGCGATTAGCGAACTAGTGTTTGAAACTCAATCCTCGTGGGAATGATCTCATACTCCGGTACACTTTTATTACTTAACGACCAGTGCACTTGCCGAGTCGCAACACCTATGTATTGCAATAATGACATAATCTCATATATGAAAATGCATACATGTCCTGTCAAAATATCATAAATAACATGCTGACTTGCTGAGTCAAGAACCTACATCACGTAGACCTGACAACATCCATAAACCATGGTGTATACAAATACATGCCCTCAAGCAATAACAACAACATTATTAATAGTGGCATAGACAACCACTATGTTCACACCAAATAAACAGAGTCAATACTGTTAATATAAGCATGCCACAACAACAATATATTTCATAGTCATAATGCATGCATATCATGCTAACAACTCGACTCCAGCCTCTTTCCTTGAGATGCACCAACGTCCTGAATATCCGCTCCTGAAAATTGTGCCCCACACGGAGTGAAATTTTGACAAATGTTAGTAAATGGGGGTTCTTAAATGACTACTCATCCCCCAAATTCACTTATGGGCACAATATAAGTATGAACAATATAAAACAACATAATGATTCAACGTACATATATCATGTAGGTGCGCAAATGACAAATCTACAGGCAAGAGGACAAAAGTAGGCATTACACACGTGTATAACCCACACATAAAGTATGGTAGTTAAGCATTAATATTTATATTTTCGTCATAGTTTTGAGTTAGATCACAGTTTGTAAATTATTTAATACAGAGATTTTTATAAATGACAGAGTTTTGAAAATGTTAATAAAAGGAAAAAGTTTTCCCGTATTTTTAAATGAACTGTTGTGATTGTAACTGCGTTTAATATCATAATTAATGATAAAACATTGGTCCGGTAGCGACATGTTACAATCTACCCTATACCCACACTATTAGAGTTCCACCCTTTCTATGTAATCACCATGCTCAGGAGCCCCATCCAGGTGTTGTTACACACTACCCCACATACATACATATGAATACAATGCACAATATCTCGTACTATAATGTATTACCAAATACATCAGATAAACATAAGTGCATAACCATTTTTCAAAAAAATATGCCATGGATATAAACCAATTACCACCCATGGAGTTTGGTGGAACAAACAAGGGATTAACCCTGAGAACATAAAGCTTTCTTGTATATGCTAAGTGTCCCAACCAAACCTTGGAGTACAATCAAGGCACCAACTCAGTAACAAGCAGTGTCATAATCTGTTTCCACAATGTAAATATCATAACAATCATACTCCAACTGCTAAAGTCTATCGGGACACTATTTCTTTTTGTTTAGTGTACTGCAGGTTCCTTCCAAAACCCTAAATACAAAATCTCATAGTTTGAGGCTCAGATTAATTTTATAGAAGTTTCCTTGATTCATTTAAGAGTCCTAGATCATTAAACTAGTTTCTGTTTGGCCAAAACAGTGAAAAACACAAAAACTGCAGAATATCCGCATAAAGGTGTGGGTCTGACCTTTTCGTGAGAGAAAAATGACATGTCATATAAACGAATAAATAATTTTCCCATATATATATGGGTAAATATTTCTACAACCACTCTAGATAAGATTATTTACAGCTACTCAAAAATTACGTCGTTTTGATTAATGAATGATGTTTATGTAATTTTAGGTGAATTAATGAAAGGTGTTTGTGTAATTTTGTTTATTTTTTTATCATGTACATTTTACTGAAACACCATTCATTAATTCACCTAAAATTATAGAAACACCATTCGTTAATCAAAACGACGTAGTTTCTGGAATAGTTATAGATAACCTTATCTAAAGTAATTGTAGAAATATTTTTTTTCATATATATATATATATATATATATATTTATATCAGAAAAATATT